CCCGTCCCCCTCCCTGCGGATTCCCCCTTTGCCGGCTCTCCAGTCCCCGCCCCGCCACCCTGAGGGGGCATTCTCCAGGGTCCACCGAGAGTTCTCCCACGCCCCCGGGGCCCCCGGAGGCACCGGGCGGGCGCGGAACCGCGAACCCGGGAGCGCGGGGGAGGGGCGGAAGGCGCGAAAGCGGGGTGGGGGTTGCGGGCGCTCGCGCTCCACACTTGCCCCGCGCGGGGTTTTCTCGCCTTCAGCTGCAGCAGCTGCAGCCGCGGAGGGAAGAGGGGCGGCGGGCGGCGAGAAGGGCTGGCGCCCCGGCCAGGAGGGAGGAAGGGGGGGCCGCGGGGCTGTGCCAGGGGAGCCGGAGGGGTGCTCGGCGCTCCCCCGCCCTCCTTCCGGGAGCGAGGATGCGGACTCTGAAACTGGCGCTGCTGGGCTGAGGCGGAGGCACGGGAGTTGCAGCGCGCGGCTCGGTGAGTGTGTCTCCTGCGCGCGGAGAGGCGGGGGAGGCGGAGGACCGGCGCCGGAGGAGGCGGAGGGGAGAATGCCCGGAGCCGCCGCCGCCGCCGCCGCCGCCGCGATGCTCCCGGCTCAGGAGGCTGCGAAGCTGTACCACACCAACTATGTGCGGAACTCGCGGGCCATCGGCGTGCTGTGGGCCATCTTCACCATCTGCTTTGCCATCGTCAACGTGGTGTGCTTCATCCAGCCCTACTGGATCGGCGACGGCGTGGACACCCCGCAAGCCGGTTATTTCGGGCTCTTCCACTACTGCATCGGCAACGGCTTCTCCCGGGAGCTGACCTGCAGGGGCAGCTTCACGGACTTCTCCACGCTGCCCTCCGGCGCCTTCAAAGCCGCTTCCTTCTTCATCGGCCTCTCCATGATGCTCATCATCGCCTGCATCATCTGCTTTACCCTCTTCTTTTTCTGCAACACGGCGACCGTGTACAAGATCTGTGCCTGGATGCAGCTCACCTCCGGTGAGTGCGCGCTCACCTCCGTGGAGGCGGGGGACCCCCCGGGCGCCGGAGCTGGAGGGGCGGGAGTGGGAGGGACCCGGGCTGTGCTCGCCGCTGGGGGCTGAGCAACTTAATCCGCTCAGGTGTGGGGATAGGGGGTAGCTGGAACCTCGGGAGGCCGGAAACCCCGGGGTTCCCGAGACCCGGCGCGAGCGACTTGTCTTGGGGCTTTTGAGAACCTCCCAAGAGCGGGGACGCCGCCCCTAAGGACCGCCGGAGGCAGGGCGTGCGCAGGGCCGAGTCCACTCCGAACTGAGGGTGGAACTGAGGGTGGGGAGAAGCGGAGTTAAGGGCGCGCACCGAAGCCCCAAGGAGGGGCTGGCACGGCGGGGCGGAAAGCCGATTTGGAGAGGTTGTCGTGGAAGGAGTCAGCCTGCTCTGCCCCTCTCCGGGACGGTTTCTGTCGTTGGTCCATGTGTGTGGAATGGTGGTGGCTGGAGAGGAATTGTTTCTCTCTGGTCCAGGCAGTTACAAAAATGCTATCATGCATCTGGAGATGAATAAATCCGAGTTGTTTGGGGTTTGACCCTTTTAAGAAAAAGGTAGCTTAGAGCTGTTCCTTGGCAATTCCCCGAGGTCAAGTCTTGGGTGTGCGTCCTTGTCAGAGCACAGGTGCTTCCATTCCATCTCTCCACGGAGAGAGGTCTTGAGAGAATCAAGGTCTCATTTTTGGGGAGTGGCTTTAGGAAGGTGGGCAGAGAGGAAAACCTGTCTCATTAGCATCACTGGTCACTCTTTGCCTGTTGGTGATAGATGGTTGTTAGCTGGAGAAGATGAAAGTATTTCTTTTTTCCTTCTGAGCATCAAAGTTACTTTTCACCCAGAAAGGATGGGGTGCATTTCCTGGTGGCTTCGGAGAGTCGTGACACAAAACTGACTCCTTTCTCTACCTGCCATGGAGCTGATGCCCTCTCTGCCAGCCACCTGGGTGCCCTGCCTTCCACAGGCAGACTCCATTCTCAGACACCTGACACCCTCTTTTTCTAGCATTGTCGCGGTCCTTTTGGTTTTATGGATGGTCTAGCGTGGAGGGACCAAGGCTATCTCAGGCAGCCAATTTTTTCTCACGTGTATTTTGTTTTATTTGATGGCGTTCACACTTCAAAGATGTTACCTTCAAGATTTTGCAGTTATTTCTATGCTCTGGAAGGTTTTCTGGGGAGTAGGGATTTGACCCCTGAGTTTACCAGAGTGTCCTAGGATGATAAAGCCTTTAAAGGTGCTGGACAGGAGAGATAAGGTTCATGATCTTATATTGGCAGTTTGATATAAGAGAAGCTTGTGGGAGACTAAACGAGTATGGAAGTACTCGCTTTGTATTAAGTTTGTATGAGCTGCTTGCGATTTGCCATGAACTGTGAATGTGCCCCATGTGAAAGGCAAGAGAAGAGCGCCAGTAGAGGCCCCCACACACATAGCATTATCCTCCTGAAATGTAAGAGTTCTCTGCTTTGCCTTCTGTCCTTCCATTCCAAACTTCTTGAAGCACCCCCTGCACCCCCCACTGTTTTCATATATAATGTAAACTTTTATGGCCATTTCACAGGCAGACTACGGTTGAGATTTGGAATAAATTAGTGTATTATAGTTGTTCTTGACACTTAATTCTTGTTTGACTTTGAAGACAACAGGACATTGAGGATGCAGGTGTTTTAGAAAAAGAGGTGACCCTGTGCAACTCATTTTAATTTTTCTAAGTTAAATGACCTATTTAGACTGGTGATGCAAATTAGATTGATTTTCAAAGGTCTGACTGTAATTTGCAAGTGATTTCTCAACAACATATTTCTAAATATTTTATTTTAATAAGATTTTTGTACTCTAAACCAAAGGGGTTTTCTAAACATTTCTTTTAAGAAGAAAGCAAGCTATCTTTGGAAAAGAATTACCAGCTTTGAAGTTAATACAAACTGCAACTATTACAATAGTTTTTCCTTCCTCTTCCTGGAATAGAGTACACAAAAGTAATTTGTTCTGCGGTAGTGAAGCATAATGTCTTTTTTCCAGAAATTTTACATAAATATACTACCTTGTTTCCTATATGTCAATGCAAAATGTGATGGTAGCCTTTGCACTAAAGATGATACAAGGACATTTACTTCATTTTTGGAATGGTACAGATCCTTAAGTTCTAGACATACTTTTAAAATCCTTTATTTGCAATTTATTTGATATTTTATTTCTAGATAAACCACAGAAAGACATAACTTTATTAATGAAGTATATTAATTAAAAAGAATGGAGAATGACAATGGGGCAGTTAAGAATCAGTCAATTATATCCACATATTTTTCTGAGGAATGGCTTACAGAAGATATTTATGAAGAATGTCATATTTAATGTGGCTTTGTTTTTTTAATATATTAGATAATGTATCTTATTTTATTATTATTTTTATTGATTTCAGAGAGGAAGGGAGAAGGAGAGAGAGATTGAAACATCAATGATGAGAGAGAATCATTGATGGGTTGCCTCCGCACACCTCCTACTGGGGATCGAGCCTGCAACCCGGGCATGTGCCCTTGACCGGAATCGAACCCAGGACCCTTCAGTCCGCAGGCCGACACTCTATCCATTGAGCCAAACCTATAGGGCTAATGTAGTTTTGTTTTTAAATCTCGTGACACTAACAAGAAATTTAACATAATATATTATAAGTTACTTTCAAAGTTTAGTTTCTAGCGTTTAGACTATTCCTTTTTAATGTTAAGGAGACTTTTCATACTTTTAACTGTCCCAAGGCTAACTCAAGTGTAATGTGCTAGCTATGAAAGAGACTTAATGTACCATTTGCTCTTTAGAGACTGTTTAACCCTCATTGAAAGTCAAGTGATTAACTTGTATATTTAGTCATGTAGGCATTTTAATATAGTAACATCATTAATTAAAGTCAGGCAGAATATAAAATCCCATATGAAATGATACACGAAGGTGATGAGGCAGGAGATTTTCTTGAGGCAATACAACATCAAGAATTATTCTTTTTCTGATTCTGAACAAGAAACTAGAAAAAGTACTTAGTTTATTGGACCTGACAATGCTATTGCTCTTCTATATAATTAACGGTGCTATTATGAACACCTGCCCTCTTCCTCTTGCTCTCCCCGCTAACTCATTATTAACCTCAGTGGAGTGAAACTTCAGATCTAGGAGCTAAAGTCGCACTACTGTTGGATATGGTCCTATACTTAGGGGCCATGCCTGATAAAAAGACTGACGACATAAAAATATTACATGTGCTTTCAGGAACAATCCAGACGGAGGAGTAGGTGTCCTCCAGGTTTCCCTGTTTCTCCTTTCTGGGCATTGGGCAGATGTACTCTTCTTTGACGTGTCAGGGAGCCCGCCAAGCCTGCTCACATGGGTGGCCCTGTGCGTGTGGATGCCTGTGCTCTGAAAAGGGAACAAGGTTGGGATTTACTCAAGTTGCAAACTCAGCATTCAGGACCAACGCCAGTTCTTAGCAATGGCTGATGCTGAGCAGTATGAGGAAGCAAGATCTTGCCTCAAAGAGCTGCTAATCCATCCTAAATTCAGTTACATAATGACCATTTTTTGGGGGGTGCGGAAGGTTCCCCTGCCAGAGTACTTTGAACACTTCCCCAGATGCAGAGCAAAGAATGTATACCACCACTGAGGGCAGTTTTCATTTCCTAACAACACATTATACTTTTAAGAATATTTTATTTACTAAGTCAAACTTATAGGGAAATTATTTGAAAATGAGAATTTAGAAACTGGTGGGGTTTTTGTTTGTTTGTTTACTTTTATGTCATGTGACAGGAATATGACAAAGAGTAGAGGGAAAATACATTAATGTGAATGTCAAAACATGATTTAAAAAATATTTTTACTAATTTCAGAGAGGAAGGGAGAGGGAGAGAGAGACAGAAACATCAATGATGAGAGAGAATCATTGATTGGCTGCCTCCTGCACGCCCCCTACTGGGGATCAAGCCCACACCCTGTGGTGTGTGCCATGACAGGGAATTGAACTGTGACCTCTTGGTTCAAAGGCTGATGCTCAACCCCTGAGCCACACTGACCAGGCAAAACAAATGATTTTTATAACAGTGAGATTTTGAGTGACTATGTGTGAAAAATGACAGGATCCATATAACTCATAATATATACTATCAGTTGATTTTTTTTCGTTAGTGCAAGGCTGCACATTTAACAGCTTTTATCCACTGTAAAGTGTTAACAAGATACGTATATACTTCTATAAATCATAAATACATACACACATACTTACATACCTAACCAGAATGTGGTATCAGATGCTTAACATGAAACGATTATTCAGTGATTGTTGCTTATGTATGGTATGAGGCTCTGACCCAGTAAAGAAAATCCAGATGGCCAGGTCAGTATATTACATTTTATGTGCACACCTTAGAAATCTTTCAAAGTGAACAAAATTTAAAAAAAAATAAAGAAAAAGAAACAGCAGAGCATACAGCTATAGTTGCAGTATGTGGCTCAATGCACTTTTATGTGTGGTGTAATGAGATAAACTGAGCAAAGAGGAGTAGAAAGAACTTCAGATCACTGGGAATCGAACCAGCGACCTCTTGGTGCATGGGATGACACTACCAACTGAGCCACACTGGCTGGGCACTAGGAGAATTTTAAAGTGTAATTTGCATAATAGATTTGAACTTTGGGGGTCACTACCAGCTTTAATTAATATGATTTTTCTTTATAATGAGTAAACTGGAATTTTTATTGGGATACGAGGAAAGACCAAGGAACTGACCTTTATTCTTAACAATAACAAGAAAATAATAACAATGGAAAACAAGAGGCTGGTGCATTTAGCAAATAATAGATAAAATATTTGATGACTTAGACATAAAGCTGTTATGAAAAGTCACTGAGGCATTTGAAAAAAAGAAATAAACAAAAAACAATCTTTTCCAGAATGCTAAATGTTCACATAATTAACATCATGCAGCTCT